TAAATAAAGTCACTTAATTATAAGGTATTTTCTTCAAGAATAGCTTAGGACTCAAGACTTTTTTTTCCCCCCACAGAAGCTCAAATCACTTTGGCTGTGTGGCATATAGACATTGCTGCTGGTCATTTTTTGACAAAGCTTCCCCCAGGAGCCATTCCAACTCTGCTGCTGCCTCAGTTGGCTGGTCACTCACCCAGAGATTTCTGAAGGATGGCAAACTGCTCCTCTTCCTTTGCCCGTTCCTGTTCCTCCACATTTTCCTTTGGAGGAAGGATCCCTTTCTTGCGCAGAATGTCATTCCACTCCGTGTCTTTATTTGGATCCTAGAGCAGAACAACAAATGGATGGTATTTCTTCAAGGTGAATTTTATCACTTCCAGAACTTAACACAGTTGCTAAACTGGTAACTGGATGGATCTTCCTGACACCGGGCTTCTTTCCAGCCCCAGACCTGCAGTACCCTGAAGACTGACTTTGTTTTATTCCATCTCACTCATACAGCACATACAGGTCTTGGCTGGGTACCAAAGTTTGAAGCATTGCAACCACTGCTGCATCTCTCACAAAGTGAGACCAAAAGAGAGGATATTAACTAGGTGACAGAGCAGTGTGCTAACCTGAGGGCTTCCTTATACACCCTCAGCAGGACAGGCCACCAAATCAATGGCCACTGCATCAGGAAGCACTAGTGACAAGACACACACAGGCACCAACCTTACAGACCTAGCACTCAGTATATGGGAAATCTCCTTGTCAGATTCAAGTCAGAGTGACTATGTAAGTGCTTAGAGAAAAGCAAGCCATCTCTGTCAGCCAAGCCCATTGCTAAGGATTCACATCTAAATCTACAGCTAGACTATTCCTGAGATTTTACTGTAAAATAGTTGCAACAATCCTGCAAAACAATGCCAATACCCCCCTGCGTATTGGTGAAAAGCAGAGTAGCTGAGTATGAAATTTTCCTATTTAGCAATTTTAGTTTTTAAAATAGAAGAAATCTCAGTGATAAGCACCTATAGGTTACTTGTGCTTCCTTGTTGTCTTGGCCTAGGTCCAGTTTAGAAACTGAACACACCTAGTGCTTTGCTATAGCTTGTATCAGCACACCTTACACGAGGTCTGCTCACAGCCATGCAACTATTTCTCTTCTCTGACTAAGCCCCAGTACTTATGGACTATCGGAGACAGGAAGGGAGGGGTAGGGGGCAGAAGGGGAGAAAAAATAGAAGAAAATAAAGAACAATGTAGCTCAACAAACATAATGCCAGACTTTTTTTCCCCCGTCCTGACCGTGGTCATCTTTCCCTCAATCCCGCATTTACTATCATTTACTATCGCACTGATGCAGTGCCCGAAACGCCGACTCACCCACTACGGTAGTGAAATAAGTACCGTAGCTGCAAAGAAAGCAACAAACTGCCACATACATGGAGCTGCCGAACAACACCGCCCCGTGACAGCCGCCTCTGCCCCGAGAGAGCGGCACGAACCCGGGCCGCCCCACCCCGCTGCCCCGGGCCCTCAGCCGGGGAGGGCGGCCCGTGGCTGCGGGCGGGCCCAGTCCGGGGTGCGGCCCCGGCCCTGGCCCTGCCGGGCAGGCCCCGCAGCACCGCCCGCACAGGCCGGAGCGGGGACCCGCGGGCAGCGCGGCTGCTCACCTGCATGGTGCCGGCGGGGCCGGGCCGGGCCCGGGCAGCGGCGCTGGGCAAGGCCGGGCAGGGCCGGTCCCGGCGTGCGCGGCGCGGCCGGAGGAGGCGGCGCTCCCGGCGGGCGGGCCCAGCACCGCCACAGCCGCCGCTTCCCGCAGCGCCTAATAAGGATGGTCCCGGCCGAGGGAGGGCTTGGGCTGGTACGGGCCGTGAGGGGGGAACGCAGAGCGGTTGGAAGGCACCCTGAAGATCGAAAATCATCCTGCCGTGGGCAGGGACACCTGCCAGTAAACCGGGTTGTTCCAAGCCCCTTCCACCCTGACATGGAATAACCATGCTCGAGCAGGGAGGCTGGACAGGTGACTCAGTGTGGTCCCTTCCAGTCTTTTTCTGTGATTCCCCGTAACTTCTGTTTCCACTTCACTGAGCCTTTTTTATCTGTTTGGATTTCATACCCTGCTTTGTTTCCCTACTGGTTTATCTATTTCTTTCCTTTCTCTGATCTGTTAAAAAATAAAATAAATAAAGTAAGCAATTAAGTCTATATTACCTATTCTTACTAGGAATAATCAGGTGTCCTTGCAGTATTCTTATGATTGGATGATAGCCAACTGAAATTACCAGAAATTTGTCTCTTCATAGTTTCTTTTATTTCAGTTTTGAGTCCGTGTTAAAGTATAACTCAGAAAACACTGAGAAGTGTGTCAGATGTGGTGACCCAAATCCATTTGGGATCACACCCCATTCCAAACAAACAGACACCTAGGCCTGCCCTTTCAAAGAGCTGAGCAGATCTTTTCAGCTTGCTTTTCAAAGACACATAGCAGAGGGAAGAGACCTGCTCCTGCCTCCCTTCCCCTCCTTTTATGCTTCAGCCCAATGGATAGCCCACTTACCCAGATCTCAGTCCCCATAAAAGAGCCCTAAAGAATCTCAGCTCTAGCAAGGGGCTGAAATGAAAATTTAGAAGTCCCACTTCCACGTATTGTAATGTTTTGGGCATCCCATTAGCAGCCAGTTATTGTGGAGTGGGCTTGCCACGTTCCCTGTGCTAAATCCAGGTTACTGAAGGGAAGGCACAGCCACCTTTTCTGCCTCTGAATTAGGAGAAATGACACCTGTGCTTCGAGAGGATGTCAGTTCTCATAGTGAGCTTTTGGACGTGCAGAGGGTGCCCCATACTGGTTGTTCAATGCCCTGAGGTGGCAGGAAACTCAGCCTCACTCAGCTTATACTGAGTGCTCATCCTTGTAGGAAAAGTGGGTGAGTGCCACAAATGCACGTGTTGTGAGACTCTGACCCACAGCTGATGTCTGGCAGGCAGAACCAGAGGCTGAACTGTTCATGACAGTTTTGTTGTCTGAGTATTTTGCCAGAGCTTGTGCTTCTGGGCGTACCTCTGATTTAAACAATCATCTTCTGTGGCTGCGATACTGTTCACACCCACGGCTCTTGTATGCTGCTGGTTGGAAGCTACTTTGAGTACCAGAAAATGAACACAGAAAGAGCATGAGCAGGAAGTGAGCGCTCATTTCTTTAAAGGCTGCTCAGAAATATTCTTTGCCTGAGGTGAGATTTTTGCCCAGGTGAACAAAGAGGAACTAGCCAAGCACTCTCAGCACCAAAGCCACAGTAAACCCTGAGCCCCATCTAGGATAGAGTTACCAGAAGAGGGGGCAGAAGCCTAAATCTTAGGAGCAGCCCCATCACATCTCTTAGTGGGGCTCAGAGACATTATGAACCAAGCATGACTCTACCCAGAACACATCAAAAGCAAAACAGTTTCCCCCTCCCACCCAACTAAAAATATACTTACAAAGCCCATTTTCCCAATGTATTTCTATCAAGCTTCAGCAGGAAGAAGAGGATTGCTTTTACACACAGCATGCAGACAGAAATACTCCAGCCAGAGTGGGTGAGAGCTGGCAGTGCCATAGTGAGGCTGAAATGGAGCTATGGCTCAGCCCCTGCAGACAGCCTGCCTTCTTCCCCCTGTCCCCAGCCAATTTGCTTCTGAGCAGCTGTAATGTATTTCCTCATATTGCCCCAAATCAGAGATTAGGTGAGGGAAGATGAAGCACATGTGTAAATGACTCATTAATTACCCAGATGACCTGCTGGTGAGGAGAAAAAGTTGCTAATAAAAAGGTTCTGGGCCCAGGGTGGACTGTATGTGACTTGTTTGTGCTTGGGTGCAGGTTCCAGCAAGGCATGGACTAGGGGAAAAAAAAGACTTTTTGAAGGTAATATGATGTACTTTTCATTTATAATATATTGTATTGTAGAAGATTTGAGGTTATGTGCTTTGTGTTATTTTGTAAGTTAGCTGCCTCTATTATACAGTATGACTGTACTGTGAATAATTTGGAAAAAGTATTGTCTGGTAATAGGGATAAGAAGCTATAAGGGCTTAGTTTGCTTGGATTTTATTAGCAGCTGGGGTTTTTTTTAAGTTTTACTATCTTTTCCACCTTCTTTTCAAAGCTTATCCTTTTTTTTTCTCAGTAGTTACATCTTTCACTAAAAACCCTAAATATTAATGTAGTGATGGGTGTTTTTGTATGTTGTCAACAGCTGTGCTGGAAGTTAACTGTCCTGTTTACTGATAGACTAGAAATGTTATTTAAATAAGTAGTTTTGCTACTCCAGTTGTAAGAGTGTTCTAGCTGGGCTGAATTTCCTTCATCATGAGATAGTAATTTCTATTCTTCAGTCTGCATTGTGTTGTCCAAATTAATTTATCCTTTTCCTGGTATAGAAGACCTCCAGTAGTATTCTCATAGAAGTCAGAGAATACAGCTTAGGGAATTATTTAAAGCTGTGTATGAAAATGTCCTGGAGTATTTTGGGTATAACAAGCTGTAGGCTGCAAGAGTTTTTCCATTTTTGGATTTGAAATGGAGGGATGTTGTAACTTGATAGTAGAAGTTATAATGCAGATTGCTTTTGAAAGAAGAGACAGGCCTCAAGTTAGCTTTGAGGTAACAGTTTTAAAAAGCCTTGCTGAAGAAGACCCACCTTGCCTCAATCCTAAATACACTCCAAGTAGCAGGGGAAAGCCTCTCTCCTTTTGAGCCCTTCATATCTAACTTCAATAACCCTTGACAGGTTTTGCAATGAGATCCTTCTCCTAAAAGGCAGGCTGGAAAAGGGCAATAACTGTTAAAATTTTAGCTCTACTGTTGATGAACTGTGGTGTGTGGTGAGCTCTTTCCTCAAGCAGAGAATGAGCTTTCCCCTAGAGGTGGAAGAGCAGAGCTGACCTTGCTGTTGCCTCCTCTTGCTGTCCATTAGCTGTAGCACCCAGGTGCTTTGAAGACCTCCAGCCCTCTGTGTCTCCTTGCTGCTGGAATGTCTGGACGTGGAAAGAAGCGAGCAGTGGCTGGCAGCCCTAGAAGTGCATCCAAGAAGAGCAGATCAGCCAAGGCAGGTCTGCAGTTCCCTGTGGGCCGTGTCTACAGGTTCCTGCGGAGCGGGAACTACGCCGACAGGATTGGCCTTGGTGCTGCCATCTACCTGGCTGCAGTGATGGAGTACCTGGCTGCAGAGGTCCTGGAGCTGGCAGGGAACGCTGCACGTGAAAACAAGAAGACAAGGATCCTGCCCAGGCACATTCTGCTGGCTGTGAGAAATGATGATGAGCTGAACAAGCTCTTTGCCGGTGTGACCATTGCTCAAGGCGGGGTTATGCCAAATATCCTTGCTCAGCTCCTTCCGAAGAAAACTAGTGCAAATGTTGCTTCTCAAAAACAGGGTGGTAGCCAGTGAAACTTGCTTTTCCTGGTCTGGTCTGTGCACTTATGGATGCTGGGACTCAATAGCACTAATTTGTATGTGTTTACTTTTTTGTCAAGTATTTTGCCTGCTAATTTTAAGGCATTTTTAAAGTGTGTAATAAAGTTTCTAGAATGCATCGCTGGTCTCCTGTTCTTCCATCCATGACAAAAAAGAAAATGAAATTTTAAAAACTAGCCTAGCATAGCACCTGGGTGACTGTCTAAAAAGTCCAGTACATGCTTACTTTTGAAAACATGTTGCAGGTAAGTGTTCTGAAGCAGGGAGAGGAGTCAAGACGCATGCTGCTGTTCCTGTGAACTTTTCTTCCATCTAGCACAGATTCATTGTGCAATTAGTTCAGTGTCTCAGAGGATAAGTCTGCTTTAGAGGTTAGTAACCCTGTGTCTTTAAAGTCTTATTGCTGATAAAACTGTAGTGAGCATCTGCTCCATCATTACAGTAAATCTCTATCAGGGCAAAGCATGCAGAAAGTGGTGGAGCCATGTCTTCTCTCTTAGCACAGATGACAAATTCAGTGGTTTTTTCCATTGTACAAAGTTATCAAGAACTTGAGAAGGGGTCTACTCCCTCTTCTTCCCTCCAAGTCTGTCAGTTTTCCTCTATGGATTGATAATTTTTTTAAATAGTCATTTTTGCATCTTTAAAAAATAAAATGATCCTTCTATATTCAGGGGCATTTAATTTACTTTGGCTGTAATTAACAAGCAACAGTTCCTCTTAAAGGAAACTTACTGTGGTATCTGCTTTATAGCATATTCTTCCTCACAGCATACTCACTGCCTTTTTCCTCTGTATCAGGATGCTCTCTGCTGGGGCAGCTGACAGAGAAAAGGGTCAAGCAGAAGTTGTTGAGAGAAATAGTTCTGAAGTGGTGAAAAACTGTGAGATGTGAGAATGGAGATGAAAATGCTGTAAAAATAGACTAAGAGTTGCATGAAGGAAAGAGCAGCATAAGTGTCAGCAGGAAGTGAATGTAAATTTTGTGTGAGGTAGCATTTCACAATAGAATAAAGCAAAGAGTAATTCCTTTTTTGGCAGGAGGAACTGGGTGATACTCTTTTGTTTACACTATAAAGCTTGACAAGCAAGAAGAATGTCAGGATACGTTCTGGCTCTGTGTTTACACCTGCTGTCCTGTTACTTACACAACAGCACTACTGATATTTTTTAGACCTATTCTTTCTTCCACAACACTTGTTAAAAGTTAATGCAGCTCATTAAGCTTTGAACCAGGCCTGGCAGGGGCCACCAACAGATCAAATATTCTGCTGCTGAAGAGGAAATAAACACAGTTATGGCTCTTCACAGCTGCCTTACAACCCATCAACAGTGAAATTATAGATCCTCAGAAACCTGGGGCTAGAACAATGGGAAAAGTTGGTTTGTTGTGGTTTTTTTTTTTCTTACAGGTGTTGCCACTCTGAGAGGGGAAAAAGGCAGAACTCAGTTTTGGCACCTGGTTTTGCAAAACATATGCTGAGGAGTACTTTGACATTTTCTGGAGTAGTACTAATTACACTGATAAATAATAATGCATTAATGTAATCAGAAAACTTGTTTTCTTCAATGATAAAGTATCTTATTTTATAAGGTAAACTCTCAACAAATATTACTTGTTTGTTATGGTCATCTATGTTTTTATTTGTTCTAAACATAGGCATTGGGAACAAGTTCAGACACATACACAATGAACACTGGGCTTCCTTGGAAAGTTGGGATTGTATCCAGATTGATTAATAGACACTCTGGATGATTTTGAACAGAAATGCACAGAGTACTTAGCCCTAAGATTTTGCTATGATAGCCATGCCCTTTTTTTCACAAAGGGGGAAGACAGAAAGTTGTTATCTTAGTAGTGAAGATGCTTAGCTTCATATCCACAAGTAGGCCCCTGTTCAATAAAGTGCTTGGTAAGTATGGAAGTCATACCCCTAGATCATTCTAATGAAATTGTGATAAAAACTTTCTTTCGTGTAATACAGTATAGGAGAGCCTCTTCAAACCTCAAATACAATAGCAATAATTTTGCTTGTTCTCTTGATCACCAAAGTGCTCATTTACTTTGATGAAACAAGACATTAATTGTATTGTACTTTTGCACATGACTAGTTCTCATGTCTCATTCTATAGGTTAAACTTAGCTCAGTCACCTGTAGCTGAGGCTGGTCTGTGACATGGTTACAAATCAAAGCAAAAAAACCCATTCAAAACACAGCTCCTCTGGCATTTCTCTTGTTACTGATGCTGCAAAACACATTTATCTTGATGTGGTGTTACTTCCTAACTCAGTTATGCCATGGCTCCAGGGTGTCAAGGAAAATAGATGTCTTCAATAACACCCATTAGAGAATGTGTGTACATGGTGCTCCACAATTCAATGAAGTAGTGAGCAGATGGAGGCATGGGGGTGAAATGATGCCTGGAAAAGCTCTTCTGCTTTTACCTGTCTAGAAGACTGAATGCTGTTGACAGATGTTTTGGTTGTGCAGGGTGCTTGTAGTTCGCTCTGCACTGAGATTTGTGTGTTTATAAGCTTGATATCTTCTGTCACCTTCACTTTCTCTGTAAGGAGAGGAAACATCCCGAGTTATGGCCTCAGAGAGTCTTGTCTTGGTGAGCACAAGGGATGCACAAGATCTGAACCCATTCATTACCCGAGCTGGTCAAGCCCAGTGCACCCTGGAGAGGGGTAGGGCCCAGAGTGCCTCTGCTTTGAACATCCCAGATTTGATGCTGGCCTTGTCCTCTGCTGACCGATCCCAATATTGCAATTCCTAAACACCGTTGTCCTCTTGGAAGTCAAATGCTGCTCTTTTGAAAGAGTAGTGAATTTGTGTTATAATCTGAGATTATCCATAGTCTGTGGAACTATGCAGACTATACAGAGCTGTGCAAATGAAGGAAATTATGTCATATAAGACTACTGATAATCAAAGGCTGTTTTTGGTGGTTTTCATGTAGCAGAGTCTCTGGTGTTCCTCCTGGAGAGGCCCTGCTGCCCACCAGGGTAGGTGGCTGTGGCACATCAGTTCACACCAGGGTCATGAGAGGAAATATGACCTTGCTGCTGTGCTGAATGAGGCTCCTGACATTTGCTTCTTTTTGGATGGATCACACATGATTGCCTCTGAGTGCTCTGAGGTCAGTTCATGCATGTTTTACATTTTAGCATTATCTGCTGGAAGTTCTAGTCCCTGTTTGGTAGTTTTCTGGTGGAAGTTTAGACAGCTGTACTCCAGAAGTCTGTATTTATGTGTAGGCATCTTTCAGTGCCATGATCCAGCAGGTACTATCTGAATGGCTGTGTAGTAATCCCTGGGTGAAGAAGCTTTGTAGTAAATATATCCAGAATTCTTTTCTTTCAAGTTTGCATTATGTCTCTTCAGTAGACGTCCTCTACTGATCTTTCAGCAGGTTGAAGGCTAATAGGGAGATGGTGTTCAGTGTACAAGCTTCTTTGCACCAGAGAAATGTCAAAACTTTAGGTGGTGAATCATAACCTGCTATAAGATCAGTCACATTTTTGGTTTTGTACACAGGAAAAAGTTGATCCAGAAATGACTGAAGGAGACTTAGTAGCTCCTTCTAGTTGTTCAGTGCAGAAATCTATCAGAGCAATAAAGACAGTTTATGCAGTCCAGCTCAGCCCGAGATATGTTTCTACCCTGTTTAATAAGGTAGAGGAATGGCAATTGCAATGTGGGAGTTGTCTGGAGCAGGTAAGTAAGTTTTAAGACTGATTGCCCTATAAGCAACTAGTAGACATCCTGGGATCACTGCTCAACTCTAAAATCCCAGCAAATAAGTAAGCACAGGCATTGATGAACGCTGACAGGAATGGTGAGTTTAAAATTAGGCGTTTTATCATTCCTCACGTCACACTTTCCTTCTTGCAAATCAACCCCGCTTCATTCAGAGTTTGAACTTTCCTTGACCTCTGCCTTTCCTCTTTGCTGGTTGCTCCCCTCTTTCTTCTCATGTATTACTCTGTACATGAACCCTTACCTACATTCAGCAATGCAACCCCTGCATGTAACAATCTCTACAATTTCTTATTAGTTTCACGTTGTATTTTATGTTGTCTTCAACATTATATTTGACTGTCTACAGTTACCCATCCCCTTTGCTGCAAAGCTGCAACTGATTATTCTTCACTATGTGCAATCGCTTCCTTCCATCCTCAGTGAGCTGTACGTGTCTTTTTCCATATGTATCTTTGCTAGGGTCATTCTGAATGCTGACTCTGTCCTGCAGCACTGCCATCCCTCACAGCTTGCAGTCACCTCTAGGTTTACTGAGTGAGCTCTTCCCTGTGGGAGCTGAGCAGGGAGTGAGGCTGTCCAAGGCACAGCATCACGAAGGGAGCAGAGAGAGGGAACTAAACTACTGAGAAGGTTTTCCTCTTGTGCTTCATGCTCTGTCTCTGGCGAGCAGCATGTCGTGAGGCCAGGCAGCACTTGCTCCCCCACAGCCGAGTGCATTTCCAGGTGCATTGCCTTGCTGTGTGCTCTGCTGAGCACTGCCTGGCTGAGCCCAGCTCCTGCAGGCCAGGCTTTAAAGGTCCTAGGCCAGCCTGAAGTGATTTTTGAGTCAAGTTAGGTGGCACAAAGATATGCACTCCTGAATATTCCTGCCTTTCCAAGAGTCCACCGAGCTGTTCTTAACCACATGCTCTAAGCTGTGGCAACTGGTTTCAGGAGCTAAGTGCTACAAAAAAATTCCCCTCTGCAGTTGAAACATGTTGCTTCTGAGTGTAATTGAGTGTCCCTCCTTGCTGCCTTTTATGACAAGAGGATGGATGGATTTCCCAGTTTACTCTTCTAAACACACTCAGTACTTTGAATATCTAGATTTGTCTCTTCTCTGCCTGACAGTGAGAACTGAGCTTTCACCTCTTTTTCTTGCAGAAATATGTCTGTGCTTCTAATTGTTGTCACCTGTGTCTGCACTCCTGAATTTCTGCTGTGAGTTTTGCAGTGGGATATTCAGAAAGAGTTTCAGGCCAGAGATGACCTTTGCATTTCTATATTATTAATTTCTCCTGTTTTTCAGGTGACATTTGAATTGCTCCAGGGAGCAAAGATTTCCACTGAGCAGTGAACAAGAGCTCTTCTGTGCTTCTTACAGAGGAGTCACAGTTACTACAGGTATATGACTGCGGAACCTAGGTTCTCACCTGCGAATTACCACCTATTTATCAACCTAATTTAAGATTCAAGGCTCAAACAGATGTTATTCTTGAAACCTATTTCTATTGTGGGTGAAGGAAGCCTTTGCTGACTGCAGGAGCACAGCATGGGTTGCCTATGGTACAGTACTGCTTCAGTTTCACCTCAGCCACCTTGTTTCCTTTCCCCAGCTGGATGGGGAGAGAGTTGAATGGGTAAAAGTGAGCAAAGCTGTGGGCTGAGATAAAGATGGTTTAATAGGTAAAGCAAATCAGAACAAGGAATTCATTCAGAGCTTTGCATCAGCAGGCAGGTGTCCAGCTATCTCCAGGAAAGCCAGGGTCCATCCATAACTGTGACTTGGGAAGACCAACACCATCACTCTGAAGGTGTGTGTCCCTTTCTCCTCCCCAGCTTTTATGGCAGAGCATGACAGCATACAGTGGGAGAAATCCCTTTGGCAGTTGTGCCAGCTATCCCAGCTCTGTCACCTCCCAACTCCTTGTGCACCCCCAGGTGCCTCGCTGGTGGGGTGGGAAACAGGAATGAGATTGTGCAAGCCCTGCTCAGCAATAGCTAAAATATCCCTGTGTTATCAACATTGTTTTGGTCACAAATCTAAAACACAGTGCCATAAAAGCTGCTATGAAGACAATTAACTCTATCCCAGCCAGTACCAGTACAAATACTTACATAGAACTGAGCAAAATTTGATACTTTTCAGCTTTGGCCTCAGATGAAACAACCCAGAATTGCCATTGCAGTGCTTTTGTAATCATTATCTCTTATTTATTTGCATTGCCAGAGTGCATCCCTACCACTTGTATTTGGCTTAGTTGTTCCTTCCAGAAGAACATCCTAACTGGTTCCAGATATCTGAGAAGCCAGAGGAGCCAGCATCCCTTTGGTAGTTTTTCCAAGCGCTAATAATTTCCTACAGAATTTGACAATACACTGAACAACAGCTGTCTCCTTGATGACCCTCCTGTGCACTGGAGGATCTATTGGGTTCCCCTGAAGGCATCCCTCCTCCAGGCTTAACCAGCCCAGTTGCCCTTGCATCTCCTCAGGGCCAAGTGATAGAGTTCTCACCACCTTGGATGCCCTCCCTCCACTTTTTCCATGGCCTTCCTGTATTCTGAGCCTCCAAACTGAATATTCTGCCTTAGATGCAGTCAACAATTCCCAAAAACCCCATCCCTTCCCTTTAACTGCCAGCCAAACTTCTGTTAACACAGCTCAAACTGGGAACTTATCCAGATGAAACCCCACAAAATGACAAAACACAGGTATCTTGGGGTTTGTTTTCAAAGACAAAGGTATCTCCAAATCTGGTTCACATGCAGCTGTGCCAGCATTACTGGAACAGTACTATACCATAATAGCCAAAGAGAAGGAGGGATAACAAAGGGCTTGAGGAAATGTTCAGGAGTTGCAGCCTCATTTGTATCCCCAGCCCCTCAATTTTATTCTTTTCTTCCTAAGGAAGCAACTGCTTAATACTTAAAGTTTTGTGCCCATAAATGTCTCCATGTACCAAAACACTCCATACAGTGCAAGCAGAATCAGCTGCACTACATTTTCAAATGCATGATTTCAGAAAAAAAGGGCAGATGTTCAGAATATTTCTCAAAAGTGCCTCATTTGGGCTTTATGATAGCCAGTAAGGCAAGGCTGAAAAAAATACATCATCTGATCAAATAACATCTGTATGTAGCTGCAGTACTTGTTCCTCTTCCTTCAAAGTGCATTGGATTCATCAATTATCACACTTGAGCACTTAGGTACTCGAAATAAATCATTAAAATGTCCATGAGGATTTTACTATAGTGTTGTTCAGGATGCCTATTCTGAAATAACGGAGAAATGTATTATCTAGTCAAAAGGACAAGCTTATCATTTATGACCCTATTAAAGAAGATGTTATAAAATTCACTGTTGCATTTGAAAATTGTCGATATTGAGATGATGGATTTTCTTTGATTACAGCTGGCAGCAGCAATGCTAGACTATAGCCCAAGGAAGCTTAGTGTGGGCTTCAATAAAAAAAGGACAACAAAAAGAATTACTGATTGCAAATTTATTACATGGAACAACAAATTCCAGACAACTGAGTCACATAATAGACAACCAGTGCAATGGGAAGTCTCTTTCCTTTATGTAAACCAAGTCATCGAGCTGGTAAATGAATCCACGAACTTCACATTCCACGATATTCTGAAAGAAATTAACACAGTATCAGATTTTATGTTGAGATGTTGATCTGAATATGACTTACTACTCAGTTCTGTACATCTGGTTCTTTTCAAAGTTAGGAATTAAATAGCTTCAGATTCTAAAATGAGAAGGTTTTGATATTTAAAGGTCTAGAAAAGCACCCAGATCTGTTATTTGTACTCGAACATGAATCCTTTCTTCTCACACAGTTCTCTTTGTACCATGTTTTAACCATGCTGACCTTATTTTAGGGTATGGAAACATGACAAAGAAAACCATCCCTCTGTCAAGGGAGTGTCGTCTAAGTCTCTGAGCATGAAAAACCCTATGTTTCTGTTAAGACAGCTCTTAGTGGCCATGTGAAATGTTTGTTTCTAGGTTTGTAATGCTTCTCATGAGTACCTTCTTTTCTCATGAGCGTCACCATTGGTGAAATATCAGAAGAAATTCTTGACACTTTTTGTTGCCTACTTACCACTGCCTTCAATAGTTCTTCCATTTCGAGGCTGTAAAACATAATAATTAGATGATTGTAAAGAAGCAATGGATTACAGACTTATAAGCACACCAAAATACCTCCCCATCATGCAGACAGGGTACTACATAAAACTGCAGTGAGATTTTTCTTTAAAACAACACGTCAAATACCAGAGGGATCCATGCAGGATGGGTTATGCTTTTGAATATGAGAAATTTTCATTCAGCCTCTGCCCAAAAAGCTAAACATTCTGGCTTTAATTATTCTCATTCAGGATTTGGGTTTAAATTCATAGGTGTAGTAAAGGCACATGCCTAAGAAAGAGCATGTAAATACCAGCACTGAAAGAACCTAGATGAACATACTAGAAACAACAAGTAACTTGAAATTAAGCATAAATGACAGCTGAATTGGTACTGTGGTTACCTGACGTGACCTACTTTACAGTATTTTTAATTTTTTAAAAATGTGTTGAAGATATTCCTAAAAATTAGTTTGGTGTTAATCAGAGTGTATCCAAACCAGCACACTGGGCATCAGACCATGTCATAGCTCAGGAAGCCAATGGGTGAAAGGTGTCAGAGAAATTATGATAATTTTGCTTTGGCTTTTCCCCATTATGCAGTGTGACTTTGCTTCCTGGGCAGACCTTTCAGACCAGGTGGGCACTCAGCTCAGGCACATGTTTGATCTAATTTATTTAGCATCAGTGCACCTTGACAGTCTCACAGATACAAGCCACATGGATGATTTGGCTCAAGATAAAACATTTGCAGAGGCATATCTTCAAACAAAAAGAAGTGTTTAATCTACCAGTACCCCAGATCTCATTATCTTGTCATCTTTTAGTCAAACCAGAGCTTTTTGAGTAAATGGCTCCCTAAGCTTTCAAGCATAGGGATATTTGGCCTCTATTCAAAACAACTGCAGCTAGAGTTTGTGAAACAGCTGCTCATCTATGAACATATAACAATGTCTGAGATTTACAATCTTTAAAACAAAGAGATTCAGATACCCTGAAAAGGAAGAAAGGCCGTCCCAGAGTTCCATGACTATCCTATAAAATCAAAGACAAACAATAACAAAATACTTTAAACTCAATTCCATAGATCTGTTGCCAAATTTTACTATTCTATCAGAATATTGGTAATTTGGAGCCTTTTCCAGCAGCATGCGAACAAGATGTTGATAGTCCCCAATACCCATTCATCTGGAATGCTGATTAAAAATTATTGCCTTAAGGACATGGTGTCTAATGTAAATAAACTAGATTAACATAATTAAAGATTCACAGGGTTTAGAAGAAATATAAAAGAAAGCTTTAAACATAGGGTATGAGCAGGGTCAGCACAGATCACTTCCCAACCACTGGAAAAACGCAGGCTGACTTTAAAAGAAACAAGGAAAGGGACATACTTCCCTATCCACTGCTACTGCCACTGCTTGTCTTCATATTTACATACCTTCTTTGCAAGGTTTGCAGAAGCAATCTGTGATTCCTGCAAGTGGACACTATAGGTTAATCAAGGTGCTGGCACATTTTGGTTTGTTACAGTGACCCTCTGTTACTGATGAGCTTGGAACACTCCGTGTGAGAAGAGAGAACCTTACACTTATCACAGACAGATGTAAGAACAGCAGCAAATGGATCTTTTAAAAGACTGATGTGAAGCCTTGCCTGGAAGTTACTCAGTTCATTTCCATCATTCAACAGGCTTCCCCTGCTGTACAGCAAAGTGCAGCCGTGCTCTGGGGGGTGAGGCAGAGCTCAGCCTGGAGCTCCACTCCTCAGGCTTGAATTGAACTGATAGCTCTTATCTTGTTAAAATGGGGCTGCCCTTCACCTTTCAGACTGCTCTTGGTTTTAACCCAGGAAAGATTGCTGGGTTTAAGCCCTCCCCTGCACTCTTTATTCTTCAGAAAATTGCTCATTTTTCTACTCAGTCTTAGTTCAAGGAATAGAAGCTTTCCCCATGACTTTATGTGAGCAGACTAAGTTCACCATATGATGCAGTCCTAAACCTGCAGCCTGGTTTGGGACCCTCCTGCCCATGACACAGCAGCCAGGCTGCATGGTCCCAGCCAGCCAGGAATGGGATGGCTGTGTGCCATCAGTCACCCATCAGTGAGTGGGTTTGGTTACCTGGAGTGGGCTTAAGAAACAAACACGTGTGATGGGCAAGAATGTGACAGGTGAGAATGCAGGAAAGCATGTGGGTGGGAAACTGCAGAGAAAGAGTTTTAAAAGACAAAATACGCAAGCAAGAAACAGGGAATCATGGTTCAGGGTATGAGAAGAGGATTTCTTGGTTCAAGCTGCAAGACAACAATTTAATAGAACAATTGACATCAACTTATAGGGCTATGAAATACTAGGGAAATAAAAAATGCTTGCTCAGTCAAGGTGCTTTAAAGGATGCAAAGAAGGAGACTACTACAGAGAGACAATACGAGTGCAACCTTGGTTCTGATTTGATTATTACACACCAAGCAAAGATAGAGACTGGCTCATGACACAGCCTGCAGTTTCAACTATCCTAATTTATAACAGGTGAGAGATTACTATGTGGAAGAAATATGGTAAAAACTGAGCTTTTAAATATCTTTGTGCTGGAAATCTCAAATACACAGGGAAGTGATGGGACATTGATGTTAAATATTCTTAGTTCTCACAAAACATTTTAAGTTCCCCAGGGGGGTTCAAGTCCCATTCATACCCAAATTGCCATGGACTTTGCCTTTCACAGTGCTGAGGCTTCATGCTTTCTCTTAAAACCCCATCTACCTTCTCTGTAAGATCTGTAACTGACTGATTTTTTTTTTTTATTCAGAGAAATATAGAATAATGTAAAAAGTTACATTCAGCTGACATTAGTAAGATTTCATGACTCTTTCATTGGGTTCACTACATACAGATTCATGTTTGTAGTGTCTTCTGAAGATTCCTGGTGGGCTAAGAAAGTAGGACTTCAGGTAATATGAGATTTGATCAGCTGGGTAAAACTTCACATGGTTCTTTTTCCATATTTCACATATTTATTTTATCTGCTGTTTTACTCAGACCACACCTAGAAGTCATATTGCAGGTGTGTAGCTCATATTTTTTGAAAGGATATTGCATGAGATTCAGCTTCCAATCTTGAGAACACATAGTTTTTTCCAAAGTTAGTAACTAAAATAGTAACGAGGAGTAAGACTCTGTTCAAAGTTACCAGATGATTCTGGACATTCCCTCATTGGCTAAGCTGTGGAAGCAAAAGGGTCAATAGTGAACTCAAACATTTATTAGACTTTATGACTAAAATGCTATCATTTTTTATGCAATCAGCTTCAGTATTGTAGACTTTAGTGACTGCTTCAGGAAAGCATGCTTGGAATTATAATAAGCTAAAGACACTGGCAAGAACAGATATTGAAATGCATTTCAAAATACTTTCTATTGTTGTTTTGAAGGATCTACTCCTGTTTTGAAACAGCAGAGGACTCAGCTTCCACAAGGAAATTGCCCTTTTTAGCATATACCCGAGGGCTGAGTGAATTTTATGGAAAAGATTCGTAATGAAATGGTGCTAATAAAAAAGTGATATAAATCAGAACTGATACTGAGGTGGGTCCTTATATGACTGCACCAACAAAAAAGAGCTACACTCAATAACTCCTCAACTTCATCTCCTTACACTGAATCAGAAACACAAAAAACCCCAAATACAAATAGATCATTAAAATCAGTAAAGCAACTCATACCCCTCTGTGATCAGCATAATCTAAGGTTTGCTATTGATCCAATGTTATGTGTATTTTTAGTGTATTTAACCCTGTGTTATTCAAAACTGAGGGTCAGGTTAAAATACTGACTGTAAGTGAATGTTTTGGTTCTTCAGCTCTGAATTGGTGAAAAAACAGCAGTTTCATATAAATAATTTAAAGTAACTAAGAATTACATGTAAACTACTAACAAAAAGAAAATCTTTTATATACCCTCCTACATCTCTTAAACCATTGCAGTATTAGATTACACATTATTGTTTGGGGAGAAATGTCAGAAAGTTGGCTGTGGAGTGGTTGCTTTCTAAGTTTAAGAAGGGGGTGCTTTGAAACAAAGCAAGCAATTACATCTTACCTCATTTTTATGCATGCTATTGAATATGGAATAACAGAGATCCAAAACAGTGCTCGAGATCTGAAAAAAAACCCCAACAATACTTTAATACATTTACTGGGAGAACATGGTGTACATGGTTTGATTAAAACCAGGCTTGATTCTGATCCCAGATCAATTTAGATTGAGCACAGTTCACCAAAAACACTCAGAGCAGGGGAAAACTTACTGATGCTATTATGAGATGAAAAATTGCTCTTTTATTTGAGGAGAATAAACACAATACAACTGTTGTCAATACAGTCTGGTGCTATAAAGAGATCAAAATCAGCCTCTTATATTTAAAATGCATTTTCTATGCTAATAGTTCTAGGGGTATCTTTGGTTTTTGGCATGTTTAATCTATGCTGATTTTTAACTACAAGCCTTTTGGTCAATCAGTACTATAGTCTTTAATCATATACTGAAATACACTGTACTATACTCATTGTCACTGGGCAGGGATTTGCTTATGCATGCAATCACATTAGATGAGAACTACAGGTTCAAAGGAAGTGAGGTGTAAGACACCTGAGAAACAGGCTCTGGAAACTATTTTCTACAAGTTTTGGTTCACAAAACTGTAACATTTCAGAAAGAAAAAAAATCAGAACAAAATATTCAACATTTCCAAGGACTTCCCAATCCTGCAAATATTTTTCTCCCTGCTTTGAAAATGACCCTTGGGCTCATTAAATGCAATGCAGCTGATCTTTCACTTTGAAGTGTTTGTAAGCCTTGGGCAGCAGAAATTATCTGTGAAAACTTCCCCTTGCTCTGCTCTCCTCTGAGCACCTCAGAAAAAACCCATCCACCCACAAAGCACCGAGCCAGGACCAAACAGGACCTTTAAATCCTGCAGAACTGTCTGGCACTTCTTGCTTCAGTGTTAGCTACTATTGGCATAATATTGGCATGGCAAGAATGGGGGGCAAAAAAAGTGCTTTTCTTTAGGTCTGCATTAGCTTCGCAAGGAGGAGAGCACACACACCAACAAACTTGCCCTGCTCTCCAGAGCTGCTGGCTCTGTGGTGAAGGCTCTGCCACCCGCAGACATCGATGCTCCAGGTTATACAGGACAATTAGTATGTCTGGAAGAGAGAGTCTCAGCAGATCAAACACATCACACGAGTCAAGTTACCTGGGGTTGATCGGACATTTCCATCCACTGACTGAAACACAGCGCCAGTTGCTTTAAAAAGTAAAGAACAGACATTAACAGTGTGTCCATCATACCTTCGGACCTTTTTGCTCAGAAAGTCGGGGCTGGTTTGTTATTAGCCTGTCCGTCTTTGGCTGACCCAGGTGTCCTATTCTGCACCGTGCTGCACTCCACACCCCTGCCCACACCTGTTCCACCAGGGCGCCAGCCTCCCTCCTCTCTTTACCAACCCCCAGGGTATTCAATAAGGTGTTCAATAAGGTGTTCAATAAGGTACTGCCAGTCCGTTGCCAATTCCCTACCTCATTTCCCTGCCACAGAGCCTCGTTTCCCACCTTCCCCGTCTCTTCCCTACCTCAGCCGGTCGCATCGCTGTCGGACTCTAGTGCCGGACGTACCTGGTTCGGGGGCAGCTCCACAGCGTCCCGGTGGCGAGAGAAAGGCTGCGGGAAGCCTGCGGGAGGGACACGGCCGCGTTGGGATGCGCGGAGCCCAGCCAGGACGTGGCTCCTCGAGAGGAGCCGATCCTGTCCCGGTTCTCCCGCGTTCCCCCGGTACCGGGACGTACCTGAGCCCCGCGGCAGGGCGCAGAGGCAGCAGGCGGCCAGCAGCCAGGGCAGGGCGGGCGGCGAGGGCATGGCCGGGCGGGGATGGAGCGATGGGCGAGCGGACCGGCGCCTTTATGGGGACTCGCCGAGACCCATACGGAGCCGCCGAGCCAATGGGCGCCGGGGCGGTCCCAGGCACCGCTCCCACTGTCGCTGCCGGTGTCGCTGCCGGTGCCGCTCCCGGTGCCGGACCGACACTGCCGCCCCCGCCGCCCCGCCGTGAGGAGAAACCCCCAGCCCCGCATTAGGGACCCCGCTCTCCACCCCTAAAACCCTCCGTCAAAACTGCTTCTCTAGAAGAAGTGAGGGATAAGAAGAAGATGCTGTGCCCGGTCAAGTGACAGAGCAACAGAAAATACAGTTTTGCAGTAGGGCTTGCTGAGTGTTTGGAAATTATTTCTCTTCATGGCAGCTTGGGAAATAAAGATTGCCTTCTAATTAGAAGGGTTGTGAACTTTCACATTGAACAAGTTCCATTTTACTACATTTACTTTCACATGAAATAAAGAAAGCCATCCACCTTTTAATTAATTTCATAGTGGGTATGGCTGTAAAAAAGATACAGATCTGCTATCAACAGAAAGTTATTCTCCTTTCTTCCTGATTTAATCATTGGGTTTGATTATGGAAAACTCTTCCTGGTTTTCTCTGTGCAAGTTCTAAGAGCAATGCTTTCTAATCAGATCACAGACTTAGAAAGGCAGAGTCCTCCCAAACTCTTTCATTTAATAGACTTTGGGCCTGCTGAAGCAAACATATATTCAGTTGTCCGACTTCTAACACAGCAGGGTTGGAATTACATGATCCCTTCCAACCCTAACTATTCTATGATTCTATGGATTAGACCTGCTCGGGAGGCAATGGCTCCAGTGTGGGATATGAGACACAAAAAGCTGCAGAAGGCATTATTGTCACAGCACCCCACCTCATCTCATAATGTCCCTCAATGGCCGTGCTGCACACTAAAAGGATGATGGCAGGACTGGTCCTGGTGGGAGCATCTCAGAACAGTCGGGGAGGAGACACAGCTGCTTTCTCACAAAGGAAAGGGGAGCCAGACTGACAGATTTTGTCAGCTACACAGCTGTGTGTCCTGAACACCTAAAGAGGCACAGGAGCAGCTGAGTGACCCCAGCACCATTAGTTCACCCTTTTTTCCTTCCCCTGGGAAGGATGGCTGTCTTTGCCTCATCACAGCCTTTTGGGGGCAATAATCTGAGTGGGGAGGTGTCAGGAGAGGTCAGACTTTGCTGGAGCACACACACTTGTCAGATTCTCACTGTCTTAAGTGGAATGGGAGATTCAAGACAGGATGGAATTCAAAGAGATTAGTCCCTCTGACTGTATAATTTTTATCCTCTGTGGGAGCTAAAGCAGATTGCAGCAAGTTTTGTGATGATGGTTTCTCACAGCAAATCTGCCCAAGATTTCATTAACAAGAAGATGCAGCGTTCCAGGAAGCCCATAGCTCCTTTTTGCAGAGACCCTGTGTTCTACCCAAGCCCATGAAATCCTGGAGTGAAAGCATTCTCTGAATTTGTTAAATTTGCTCATAAAAGGAAGATGGTGTTTTATTTTTGGTGGCAGTGAGAAGCAGGTTTGTGTTTGGTGTAATTTATTTAAGCCAATGTAATCACAGAAATGTGAGAACAGAGCCCCACTAAGTGTGAGCTGGGCTCATCAAAGGTAGACAGTAAAATGAGAGAAGGTAAAGATACTCTGAAAGATTGCACATTTTCATAATAACTATCTTCTTCCTGTCTTTCAACACTTTAACCAAACTGAAAATTATCGTGAACCAGCAGTGTTTCTCTTGCCCTGCTTATCACAGATCTTGCATCCAAATCACTCCCATGCTGCAGAAACACAGGATCTTAGAGAGCCATTATAGATTCACTTTTTGCTATTATTTTTTTAATATTTACATATAAGAGACCAATCCTTTTAAATCCTAATAATTTGCTATCTTTTTACAAGAGAATAATATTAAATTATGACCAGATTGATAGTGATAATTCATTGTGATGGGATGTGCTTCTCTGGCTTTCCCTATTTGGTGATAAAAGCAGAGTCTTCTGCTTTCTGCCAGTTACATGGTAGCCTCTTTCCACTTTTTTAAACACATTTGGGTTTAGGAGTGGGATTTTTTTTGTAATAGCATGTGATCATGGTGGGTGGGTAAAATCTACTTCCAGATATTCTTACATAAAATACTGGATGCTACCCGGACCTTTCCTTCTCGTGCACAATAAACCATCTGCTGCTTTATTTCACCATTTACCAGGGAGTAGCCTAAGTGTACTCTGTGCCTTCTTTCAGCAAATTTTGCCTACAGTGAAGCCCATGGAGCTATTCTTTTGCATCAAGTGAGGCTTAATACTGGAAGATGAGAAAAAATTAACTCATTCAAACTCCACTAAAAAAAAAATCACAACTTATCTCAACTTATCTCCTAACTGAAAATTGTATTTTATCACAGCTATGCAGTATGAGAGAAGAATGGGGAAAGTGTTGAAAACTAAAATTTCAAATATATGAGGGTGTTATATTGTGAACACATTCAGCTTCCTTAAATCAGAACTCTCTTTGCTGCTGGATGTTTCATTTCAAAAGTGTAAGCCAATTGATATATCAACACCAAGCCATATTAATGAGCCATACTTTCACTGCATAAATAAAATTCCGCTTTTAATGTCTTGGGCTCTCCACACAAAGAGAGAAAAATAGGGTGGCTTTCAGTGTCCTCAGTGATTCACAAGGGAGTTGAAATGAAGCTTTAGGAGGGGGTTGATGAGAAACAAGAACATTTTTTATTGTGAGTAAGGAGTCTTGGCCTATATTTAGCAACAGCAATATGATGATATAATTTTAGAATAAAACATGCTATGATTGATAAATGAATAAGAAGAAAATTTGGCATCAATGAGCAAAAAAGGGTGAAGGGCTGGTTTCCTTTTTGTAAATGATTTCTGCAATGAAATCAGTAGCTATTGCAGACAGCAAGGACAGAGTGCACAATGTCACGATTGAGCAGCTCTTGAGTGCATCCCAGCTCATCCAAGCTGCTTCTGCTGGCTCGTGCCTCTCCCCCTCCACAGCTCAGCAGTACTTTGTACAAAGCCTTATCCTGCTCTCAGGGCTGTCAATACCTCACCCACGACCTGTTTGGAAAGATGAGGAAAGCTGCAGAAAAGGGAGGGTGTTTATTAGGCAAAGCTGCCACAGAGGCAGCAGACAGCTGCCATTACTCATCGTCTATTACATATGACAGTGCCTGCTTATGTTGAATACAAGGCAGTGTTTGATGTGGTTTTGGTTAATACTCATTTACCTTTCCAGCACACACAAGTGGTCCAAACTGTGGGAGCTTGTCTCATTCTTGTTTTCACATGGGCAAGGCTCTACTTGGCACTCAGACCTGCGTGCCCAAACTTTGCTTTACCAACACATATCACACTTTTGTAAAACTGACATCTGCTAAAGGTGCTGATTTGGTTGTCAGAATGTCAACTAAGTACAGTATGATCAAGTAGGTACAATCTTATGCTTTTGTTTGTGGTTGGGCTGTTATACTTTACAGCTATGAAGCCACATTCAAAAAGTTGAGCAGGCCAGCAAGTAAATATTTCAAGGGGATCAGTTAAAAGCATGTCCCAATGGGCAGGGGTTCAAAGAGTTCAGAACATCAAAATGGACGACAGATGCCAAGGGTGAAGCTAGGAAACTAGACTAGGAATGTGAATATTTGCATTCTTTTGTATAGTTTATTGGCTGATTTTTGGAGAAATGTGATTTTATGTCTGCTACACTCTGCTAGAGAAGTGTAAATTCCTCTGAAATGGAGCAATTTGCATCTACCATGTTGTGATCTATGGAAACAGTGCTGTAGCAATGGGCTGTATTTGGCAACAGTGGGATAAAGGATCAGTGTAATTTCTAGATTTTGAGACATTTGAAAAGATCTTTAACCTGGAGCTCTGACTTGGCTTAATTTTATTTGGTGTAGCCCCAGCTGGACAGGGAAGCAGTATGTTCTTCTGCTTAGGCAACTGGAGGGATAACTCAATCAATATCTGCAGTTTAGCTTTCACCAAGGATTTGTCCAGAATGAATCATTCCTGGCATCTTAGGCCTGCCATAAATTTCCAGGTGGTCTCTGAGTCAAATGCTGGAATGGCTGACACATACTTCACACCACCAGCTGAACAAATTTGATTTTAATAGCTGAATTATAATGCTGACACTCATTCATCCATGCCTCCTAAATCTGAATTATTTAATCTGTAGTTCTAATTCTCTTTGGGTATAGCTGTATGTAAATCATAATTTTGTGTTTATAGAGGATCACCACAGTCTATTGATACCTTACACTGATTAATAGAATAAAAGATTTAGATTAACATGTATACCATACATCTCAGATTTCTGGCAAATACCCAAATCCTACACCTTCATTGCTATATTAGAAGAAAGTAGCTGAAAATAAGTGTTTTTCTCACCAAGAACTGACTACAGGGACAGTCAATCCCAGACAATTTTTACTACCTGACCATGTTTCCTCAAAGATCATTCACTCTAAACCCACCAGCCAGAGAGAAGAAATCACCAAACTATGTTAATCAGTTTCAGTGTCATATGAGCCATCAACCCTGTGCTGGTGATATGACCCATCATCTGCCTGACTTTATCATGAAACACAAAAACCAGCTCATCTGAGAAGCTGAGTGGTTCAGTAACTGGAGTTCAGGCCTTGGACACTCCAATTTATGTGTCCCTTATCATTGAGTGAGGAGCAAAGAGTTTAACCCAAAACTCTGCTTCCCTTAGCCATACCTACCAGCACTTAATCCTGTCAGACATCTGAGTTGAGTGCTATTCAAAATGAGTAAGTACTCAAACACTGTCACATACAGTTATTGCTGAAGGTATCTGTATTTTTCTTCTTAAGTAATTTGACTTAATATGACAGCATTCTGTTTTAAGTAAACTATATCTATACAGAGTATTGCTGGTATTCAAAATCAAGTGAT